CCATCTCGTCCTTGCTGACGGACCCGAACCCCAACGACCCGCTGGTGCCAGAGATTGCGCAGATCTACTTGAAGGACCGGGCCAAGCATGATGCCACGGCCCGTGAGTGGGTGCAGAAGTACGCCACCTGAGCCTGAGAGCTTCCCAACTGTTTACCACATTTTGGCCTGCTTAGTGTAGAAATGGACAGAGTGGACTCCTGGAACTGAAGCACGCATCCGACAAAATCAACCTTTGTTCAGTTGTTCATGGAGAAGCTGAGCCTAGTACCTGATTGTCACATGGTTGATCAAGAGGTCGTACGAAACCTTGCTTTATTGTTTATATTTGCTGGACGGACCAGAGTGATACTCTGTGCTGCTGCAAAGCTCGCATGTTATGTACATGTGTGCAGACACGCAGGCTTGTTGACACAGTTGCCGAGCCACATGTGGAGTGACATTTGCTGCTGCCCTCAGTCCTTTGTGGATTACTACTATTACTACTATGTATTCCTATGAGTACTATCCGTAATTTTATCACCACTATTACATTGGCTGTCCCAAAAAAATACTATATAACCCTAACATAACCCTAAATAGTAGTTTCCATTTTCTTTTCCATTACCCCTATATAGCCCCAATATACTAATACTATTATACTATTACTACTGATACTACTATTAATACTACTATGACTTTTATGGTTCTTATTATTCGGGCTCACAGTCAAAGAGTTGCTCACGGAGCAGCTCCGCCATGGCCCTGAAGCGGATCCAAAAGGAGGGCCGTTCTCAAAAGATATGGGCCCCTTCTCAGGGTTGTAGTAGGGTATATACTAGGGTTATAGTAGGGTATATATTAGGGTAGGGTGATAATAGGGATAATGGAAAAGAAGATGGAAGCTACTATTTAGGGTTTAGGGTTTAGGGTTAGGTGGACCCCCACCCAATAATAGTGATTATAAGGGATAATAATAAGGGTTATATTGGGGTCCTCTTGTATACCTATTATACCACTATTACAGGGTGAGGGGTCCTCCTAAGATATAGACTATTTTACGGCATCGGGTACCCAAATGGGAGGGAACCTAATTTGTGAAACTACCCAGGAGTTGGCAGACCTGGGGAATGACCCGCCAGCGAATTGCTCTGCAGGGCCAGTTGGAGATGACCATTTCAATTGGCAAGCCAGCCTCCTGGGGATCCTTATCAGAGACAGTCATTCTGAAGTTGAATTGTATTAAGCAAATTAGATACAGAACTGCTTACAGATTTACTACGGCTTGAAAGGAGCGCAAAAAGAAACAAAGACACAAAGGACGACATTAATTTCATCATGCTTCACGCTTTTACATAATGTGTCATCGCTGTTGTGATGCTCACAGTCTTAATTGCATTTTCATGACTTTCATGTTTCATGACTTCCATCATGTTCCATAATTCTCATTATTGGCATGAGTTTCCATCATCTACCTTCCTGCTTCATGACTTCCAGAAAAAATCAGTTTTCGTTGCCATCGCATGTTCAGCATCTTTCAGCTTCAAAACAAATTCATTTGTCATCATATCTCAACATGTTGCATGACTTGGAATGACATGTTCAGCATTTGATTTGATTCTTATCAGTCTTTTCATTTTCTCATTTTCATCGTATTTCGTGGAGTTTCATCCCATTTTCAACATTTGGCGTCATTTTCCTGATTTCCCATCATTTCGCATGATGTGCAAATGGGGATCTGCACCAGCCCAACCCCCGGGCTGATTTTTTAATACACCTGGACATGTGAGATTATCTGGTCCTTTGCTTTCCGTACTGGCACAAACATTTGTATTGTGGCCTCTTTACTTTGTTGTTGTTCTTGGCTCCGTAAACGCGCAACAAGTGCATACTTGGCCAACCTCTCCGGATGTGGCCTGCGTGATAACCTTAACACGCATTCGAAGTGTTTTGAGGGCTCGAAATACCACGCATCCCGATTTTCTAGGTTACACCAAACACAATAACCAGCACATCCTATAACAACGTTCGTGTTCCAAGTAAACGATAACCAGAGCATCCATGCCCAAACCATTATAATGTTCGTGTTCTGAGTAAATGCGCTAACCAGAGCATCATGCCCAACCCATATTAACGTTTGCATTCCGAGTAAATGCGCTAACCAGAGCATCCATGCCCAAACCATAATGACGTTGGTGTTCCGAGTAAAGGCGCTAACCAGAGCATCCATGCCCAAACCATAATAACGTTGGTGTTCCGAGTCAATGCGCTAACCAGAGCACCCATGCCCAAACCATTGTAGCGTTCGTGTTCCGAGTAAATGCACTAACCAGAGCATCCATGCCCAAACCATAATAACGTTCGTGTTTCGAGAGCATACGACAACTAGATCATCTAATAACGCATGTGTTCGGAGTACATGCTCTAACCGGAGCATTATGTCCAAACATGTCCAAACCATCGTAACGTTCGTGTTTCGAGCAAAGGCGTTAGCCAGAGCATCTATGCCCAAGCCATCATAACGTCCGTGTTCCGAGTGAATGCACTAACCAGAGCATCCATGCCCAAACCATAATAACGTTCGTTTTCCGAGAGAATGTGCTAACCAGAGCATCCATGCCCAAACCATAATAACGTTCGTGTTCCGAGTAAATGCGTGAAACCAGGGCATCCATAGTCAATGCGCTAACCAGAGCATCCATGCCCAAACCATAATAACGTTGGTGTTCCGAGTCAATGCGCTAACCAGAGCACCCATGCCCAAACCATTGTAGCATTCGTGTTCCGAGAGAATGCGCTAACCAGAGCATCATGCCCAAACCATAATAACGTGTTCCGAATTAATGCGCCAACCTTCGATCTCTACAATATAACGCCCACAACAACCAATTTTTCATCCGAAAACCCTGATTTCTGAAACTCCTGCCACAGAGAATCCCCTGCAAAACGCGGTATGATTTCAAAGGCACGCGTAATTTTTCGTGTTTTTTGACATGTATTTTTGAGACGGCTTATAGGTGCGTGCTTGGGTTTTGCAGTGGATTCTGTACTCTAGCGTCATGCACCGATGAATCGGCGCGCTTTTACGGTCCGGCGGACCGTTGTTATTGTATGACTATGACTATCTAGTCCGTGAGCATGGACTAGTGATCACAATCAATATGGTGGACACCCATGTGGATTGCAGAGCAAAATCAATCTGAGTAGAATGCTTGTGCATAGCAACTACATCATGTTTCGTCGTTGTCAACATATATCAGGATTCTTCGTACTTTTCTGCTCGTCATTCAAGACTTTCCATCATATTGTAAAGTATCCATCATGTCTCATGCTTTTCATCACTTCTATCATCATGTTTCATCATTATTCCTAAGTTCCCAAAATTTTATCATGTGTCACGATTTGTCCATGACCTTTTATGCTTTTCATCATGTTGTCATAATTTTCATGCTATCCCTGTGCCTATTGACGTTTTCAAAACGCTAGGAGGGGCCCCTGGGCCAAAAGCGACGGCTGGTACGAGGATCACGACTCCGACCCCTGTGATCCGTGTGACTGCCGAAACAGACGCCAAGAGGACCCAAGGGTCCAAAAGCGTCGATGGTTGCCAGAATCGCAAGGACTGTCAACACCTGCAAATTGCAAGAAGATGTGATGCTCCAAAAGCGACAACACCGGCGAGGATCGCGAATTCGACCCCCGCGATCTCTGTGACTGTCCATACCTGGCTAAGGGATCATTTGCTTCGGATGATACATCATTTTCTGATCTGCTAGTTTACTTTTGTCACGAAAGCTCCTGGGTGTGTGGGGGGGGATGGCGCCACTTTTGTCTGGTTTGTTACAGCTGCCCTGCGCCACAGGCTGGATTTCTCGGTGTTGGCTCGGAGGGCCTTTTTGGGCTGGATTCTTGGGGGTTATCTTGGGATGATACTGGGAGGATCTTGGGGGGATCTTGGGGGGTCTTTGGGGTGATCTTGGGGGGATCTTGGGGGATCTTGTGGAGGATCTTGGAGGGTGTTTTTATAGGAGGCTTTCGGTAGAAGTGTTGCAGTTCTTTCATGGGCAGTGAGGGCTGGACTCGAGCTCTTCTGCCTCTGCATCATTTGTTCCTTCATGTCCTGTGTCACCAGTCCTGACCATGATTGAACTTTCGTCCCAGCTCGTGGCTCTCAAGAATTGATGTATTTTTTCTTTGATGGCGGTGTTAAAGCCATGGTCCTTGTCTGAGGGTTTGTGCTGAATGCATCCTCCGCATCCCCAACCTACTCAGAAGATACTCGTACTAACCGCAGTTGTTGCGGCTGAACAGAAATTGGGTTGCAGGCGACCATCATGGGGCCTCCTGACTGTCCGTATTCTGGTGGAGTGTTCTTCCTGAACATCAACTTCCCATCCGACTACCCCTTCAAGCCGCCAAAGGTGCACTTCACTACGAAGATCTACCATTGTAATGTGAATTCGAACGAGGCGATCTGCCTCGACATCTTGAAGGACCAGTGGAGCCCAGCGCTGACGATCTCCAAGGTCCTGTTGTCCATCTCGTCCTTGCTGACGGACCCGAACCCCAACGACCCGCTAGTGCCAGAGATTTCGCAGATCTACTTGAAGGACCGGGCCAAGCATGATGCCACGGCCCGTGAGTGGGTGCAGAAGTACGCCACCTGAGCCTTAGAGCTTCCCAACTGTTTACCACATTTTGTCCTAGCCAGTCCGCATCAGTGAAGCAAGCTGGACAAGGCTGGAAAATCGGCTCGTTTGCAGGGATCTGTGAATGATTCAGGTGAGATTCCGGGTCACTGATGGACAGCAAGGTATGTGCTGCACTGAGAAGGCATGAGCATGTCTGAGTCTGTCTAACCATTTGAGCTGCTGTATTCTGCGAGAGGGTTCCAGGCATGTCGAATGCTTTCTAGGCGTCATGTTTGTTTGTGAGCGTATCCTAGACAAACCAGCCCGGCCTGAACCCTTCTATATCTGGCTCAGGCAACATATTTCAAATTTTCTTGCAGGGTTTCCTCAGCTTTGAACTTTGGCTATGGGTTGCGCGGCCAGTACCGTGACTGACAACGTCAGCAAGCATGGACCGCGAAAAGTTGTTGTCAGAGATCTTGCGGGAGGCGTGGAGGTGGAAGTCAATTTCTTGGAACGCACGCGAAGCTTCGACTCCATGAGAGAAGCTTCCTGTCCAAGCGAGAGCATGCACTCCTTTGCCCCAATCAAGGCCACCCATGATGCTTACGTGCGAAGGTTTGACAAGCTGATGAACGAGATACAGTCCCAGCCAACCGCTTTGCTTCGGGAAGTATCTATGAGACGAAAGACGAAGAATGACATCAACATCGCCTTCTGAGTAGAGTAGATACTGACGTAATCATCGGCCACATGACGCCTGTTGAAGAGTGTCGCAGATGGCTGACAAGTACAGATGGCTGTTCCATCCTTTGATTTGTCTCTATGCTGCTGCACAACGCTCACAGGAACCAACGCCCTCTCCATAGCAGATTCTGTAGTGCAATGCCATGGGGAAACTTGGTGAGGAGCAGCATTGTGCTCCATTCGCAGTAGGTAGATGTTGATGAAATAAGTACATCCTGCGCTACAATGTCTGCAGGGACTGGTGAAGCTAATGCAGTGAAATGCAGGCAGGAGCTGTGAAGCCCAAAGCCCACTTTGCACAAAAAAAGATGAGGAGGTTTTTCAAGCTCGGAGTGGTGATTCCACTCCATGTTATGGAGGACCCGGAGGGTCCTTCAAGGGCAGTGAGCGCTTAGAGTTGACAAAAGCGTCACAAACGCCCGGGTCGATGCTTGATTTGCTCCACATGTGGCCACACCATGGCAGTCAATCATCCCACTTTGAATGGGCTTCTCCATCAGGATTTTCAGGTACAAATCAGGCTACCAGCGAATCGAGACATAAGCGGCATTGTGCCCAACCATGCGTGAAGGAACTTCCAGATGGCGCACGTCCCAAAAGCAGTTCATAGGAGAGGCGATGTGAATACTTAATTCTCAGACTAAAGTGAAGCAGACTTCGAGCAGGCAAGCAGGAATGCTGCGCCCTCTGGCTCCTTTGCTCAAGACTGTTTTCCGCCGGAGATGCGGACGTTGGCTGTTCTAGCGGCGCCTCATTTAAGCGCGCTGAAGCCGCTCACAATTCCCAGGGCTTGCTGCAAAGCTGATTTACACGATGTACGACGGAGCAGAAAACCTAGGAGTATTGCTTGTATTGTTGCAGTGTTTTGCATGTTGCTGTCCAAGCCAGCTGGGTGGTGCAGGGGCCTGGCAGGCAGTGGCCTGTAGGACGGACGCGTCTTTGAGAGGTCAGGCCCTCAGGGCGACTCGTACTCGATTGATGCGGGTTATGCATTTGTCAAATGCAGGCAGGAGCTGTGAAGCCCAAAGCCCACTTTGCACAAAAAAAGATGAGGAGGTTTTTCAAGCTCGGAGTGGTGATTCCACTCCATGTTATGGAGGACCCGGAGGGTCCTTCAAGGGCAGTGAGCGCTTAGAGTTGACAAAAGCGTCACAAACGCCCGGGTCGATGCTTGATTTGCTCCACATGTGGCCACACCATGGCAGTCAATCATCCCACTTTGAATGGGCTTCTCCATCAGGATTTTCAGGTACAAATCAGGCTACCAGCGAATCGAGACATAAGCGGCATTGTGCCCAACCATGCGTGAAGGAACTTCCGGATGGCGCACGTCCCAAAAGCAGTTCATAGGAGAGGCGATGTGAATACTTAATTCTCAGACTAAAGTGAAGCAGACTTCGAGCAGGCAAGCAGGAATGCTGCGCCCTCTGGCTCCTTTGCCCAAGAATGTTTTCCGGTGCGTGTTGGCTGATCTGCGAGAGAAGCGGCCGTTGGCTGTTCTAGCCGCACCTCAAGTGTGATGAAGCCATCCACAATGTTCACCATTCGCAGGGCTTGGCGCAGCCCTGAGGAAAGCTATTTTCCCGGTATACAAACGAGCAGAAAACCTAGGAGTACTGCTTATGTTATTGTTGCAATGTTTTGAGTCGAACTCATCTGATCTGGCTTTTTACACCTCAGCGGCTTCGTGAAGCCAGCCTGCTGCCGGTAGCCTTGAGCGTGAACAGCCTGACACCAGCTGCTCAAGCTGGTGCCAGCTTAGCTTACTGGGGGGTAGTAGGGAATAAGGGGATATATTATATAGGGATTATATAAGGATTCTAGTCTGTAATTTCTGCTGAGCCGCCAGTAAGTTAGATCACCAAGGTCTTCGGCCCCCCTTTTTTCTGATGGCCAGGTTGCCGCTCTGATTCCAGATGCTCAAGCCATGAGGGGTCATTCCCCTGCTAATCCATAGATTTTCAGTATATGGTAGTTTCTGTAGAAATTTTGGATTAGTGGTCCCCAATATACTGTATGGTAGTACTGCTTATGGTCATTACCAATATGGGACTGTTATTTCTTGGGAGCTCTCGTCTCACTCACTGAAGACAATGCGCAGTGCACGTAGCAACCTTGAGACACGGCCAAACATCAGCCAGTAGCCAGCTCGGAAGCGGGACTACGGGGCAAATACACTTGGGCTCTCGTTTTGGGGGTCCCCATAACAAGGATTAGATTGTATAGGGGTCTAGAATGGGAGCTCTTATCGAGGGAAGAAGGTTCCACTAATAGAAATCACGGTAGTAATAGCTGGAAGGATTAGTGGTATTGCTGATGCGCCTACCTGTGGTCGGGTCAGGGCCTTGGGGTTCCTCAATGTAATGCAGCGTTCAGCTCCCACTTGCAGACCGCATATGATCGTATCTGAATACTTGGCGCCGGCATGTTCATGCTATTACTCCATACTAAGCTTGTGCTCTGAAGCAACTGTCTTGGGCACCTGACGAGTGCGAAGAGCGTGTCACTGGGCACCTGGGTGCTCTACGAAGCATGATGTTTATACATCATGAACTGTCGTACGTGCCAGATTCACCTATTTTTCTCGTGCAGACCATTCTTGTCTCTGCACACCGACTTACGGAAGAGCCGTATTGCTTGCAAGCTTTCTCCATCGTTCAAGAAGGCAAGTTGCGGAGTCGGCGTCCTGTTTCAATGGACCTTCCCTGGATGAGGTGCAGGTGTGAAATTGGCCAACATCGTCCTGATGATGAGTATGTGTGAGCTGGAAGGAATTTCCAGATCATAGTCCATCAGGCGGCCTCCTCACTCAGCCTGAAGAACCAGCGGGTCATCGCGATGACGTTGCTTGCGCATTCTGCATGCGCAGTGCCGTCACTTATGCTTGCAGAATTCGAGCCTTTCGCGACCGCAACAAAAGGACTTAGTCGGGGGCAGCAGCTGCTACAGATTTAATTGCAAACCCTGTGCAAAAGCAAAGCATTTGTTGGCAGTTTCCGTTCAACCTTTTGGCAAAGATGACTCAGTAGAACCTCCAGAATGCTTGCCGTGGTAGTGCAACACAACTGAGCCCAGGAATCAGAAATCAGCTCCACGTGGTTCTTGCTCTATAGTTTGGTATTTCTTTCCTGGCGATTTGGCTATTCAACTCACCACTCTGGCTTACAGCTGCTGAAGTGCAAGCGGGTTAGACAGTTGTCGAGCACATTCCGCCATGGCGCTGAAGCGGATCCAGAAAGAGTTGGCGGACCTGGGGAACGACCCACCCGCGAATTGCTCGGCGGGCCCAGTTGGAGACGACATGTTCAACTGGCAGGCGGGAACCATGAGGACCAAATCTTTCACTCAAAAGTTGTGTATTTTGTGTCATGTGGCCCTGGTACGGAGCAGCGCTGTAATGCTGTAGTTCTGGCAGCTGAACAGAAAGTGGGTTGCAGGC